GAAAATTTTACGGATTTTTTTGCATTTAATTTTAACCTTTTAATTCACGACGAGGTTCATCTATACTTATTACTCTTTAAGTTCACCACACTGTGGTGTTTGACTTCCCGATGTCACGGTTGTCCCGGGTACCTTCAGCTTTGTATGTATATTAATGTAAATTAATGTTAAATCTATGAGGGAGGCCTATGTTCAGCAGTGGACTTTAATAGGCTGTAGGGGGGGGGAGGGAAGGGAGTAATTTTTGATCAAATCTACGTCGAATGAGCTTACATTATCTTGAGAGGTGTTTTTTATAGGAAAAGGGTGACAAGCGAGCACAGAGTCCACCTGATGGCCCATAGACATCTACATCTATCCTCGTTTGCGAATCAAAATGAAGATGCGTTGTCAGCCTTGAGGACTAAGATGGAATGCCCCTTTTCCATTACGCTACTATTTGACACTGGTATTCTGTGAGAGCGTGGTCCTTCCCCGGTCGAGCCGACCCATTCGTGCTACAACTATACAATTAATATAGCTGTAGTATGGCTCTACCACGTAAAAAGTTGCAGTAGTATGCTTAGATTTGGATTTAATTCCTTCCTCCCCTCTTCCCCCTCCCGTAACCGTGGGTGCTGTAAAGCGCCTGAAACGGGAATTAAAAAGTCCCGCAAGCTCAGTATGTTTAGATAGTATGTTTAGATCTAAAGTTAATGTTTAATCAGACTTTTATCGTGTATCAATGATGAAGTAAAAACGTTTTAAGTAGATAAAACGATCCTTTCGTCGTTGTGAACTGTTTTGTTATATTATGTACAGTGCATGTACACCGTATTTAAACCATTAAGTCCAGCAACTTACGATTCAATTTATGACGGAAAAGTTGTTTCTTTATCATATTTTTTCATATACTTTCTGCATCGTGGAACGGGCTATAAGGCGAAAACATTTTTTTTTAATTTTGATACTAAAAGCTATATGTACATAGATATAAAGAGCTGTGTAAATAGTTTATTTAGGTAATACGTTGTAAGACCTAAAAAACCAGTGATGCCGTTTTACATATCCAATATTCCGTCGTAGATTATTACTATTTAAAAAAAATAGTTACGTCTTTAATTGTAAAAATTCGGCAAATATGCAAGCAATTTTATTTACAAAAAAGAAATTCATTTTACTAGTTGATTTACATTCAAAATTTTTCTAGAACAGTTTTTATTGACTACAGTCTTCTATAAAAAGTTCCGACTTTTTCATTTTAAGGACGGCTTTTCAATTTTGCATACTATTCCGCCGTATTCGTTCGCAAGAGGCCTGAATAGTTTTGCTGTTGGGGCAATATACAGGGAATTTGGATGCGATTCGCCAAAGTACGCATGCAATCAACTAGCTCGCATTGTTAGCGATTTTTCGGTGTCGAATATTTTGCTGCACGGAAGTCCATTCACTAATTGCCAAAACTGTGCTTATTACGTCTGTAAAACAAAAAGGTTTTTATTCCCTTTTATTTTAGTAAATGAAAAAAATATAAACAAAATGTTATGATTTATCATCGTTTTCAATTTAAAAGTCTTAAGATATATTTATTCTGGATAAGGAATTCTTTGTCCAGAATGTGTGTGTGTAAGAAATTGTCAATCAATAATTACGTGGAAATTTTCTTACTTTTTTATAGGATAAAGATGACAAACGGGCACACAGTCCACCTGATGGTAAGTAGTTGCTATGACCCATAGACATCTACATCTATCCTCGATTACGAATCAAAATGCAAATGCGTTGTCACACGTGAGGACTAAGACGGAATGCCTCGATTCAAGTAAAAAGGGTCTCCGGATCTCTACACTTAGCATACGAAACACAGCAGCGTTAAGCTACTATTTTACGCTGGTATTCTGTGAGAGTGTGGTCCTTCCCCGGTCGAGTTGACCCATTCGTGCTACAACTATACCAGTAATATAGCTGCAGCATGGCATTACCACGTAAATCTATATCTATACAAATAAATATAATTGATTTGTATGTTTGTACTGACAAAATAACAATTTTTAAACTTTTTGTTAGTCTGTCTCTGCGTCTGTTTGTCTGTTTGTCTGTCTGTCTGTTTGCTCCGGCTAATCTCAAAAATGACTGAACCGATTTTGAAACGACTTTCACTGACAAAAAGATCATGTTATAAGGAGAACTTATTTTAGAAAATTAATTAGAGTTCCGTGCAAAAAATTAAAACACATGAAATCCAATCATAATAAATTTCACACGGATGTAGTCGCGGGGAACAGCTAGTATAATAAGATATATAATAATTAATCGCTTAAAAATATTCCAAGATGATCTTCGCATTGATCTTTGCTAATATATGTATGTGTCGAGTGATAACGGCATGAGAAAAACCAACCCACGTCGTACCTTAAGTGTCATAAGAGGGAACTAAGGGATATTCTCATATTCTATTCCTTATTAATCGAGAAAGTTTCTTCCGTGTAATGAACTATGTAAAATACTCCAATCGCTGAAAGATAGCATTTTTAAAGGTTCGAAACTTCTGGCACTGCAATTGCAAATTGCCAAATCGTCTACCAAATATAGCGACTATTGAAATTTTTATTTCTGTGATTGAGGGCTATGTCTAGCCGAGTTTCTTATAGACTGGTCAAGAGGTAGAAAAAATATAGCTATGTGACTCTTATAAAATGTTTAAAACCATAGAATACTATAATACATTCTTAATAGAACGGGGGAGTGGGCGGAGCCCGTGTAGCCACTAAAATGCCACTAACACGTTAATTCACACGTATAAATGTCAACACGAGATGTGTTTTGACGTTACAATAGTTTCCAAATTTCGCATGCAAATTATTTAGAAAATGCCAAATTGCACGCTATTTACAAACAAATATATATTAAAATCCGTCTGTCAACACAGCTAATCGGGTTTATAGTAGTGATTAGCTGCTAATACGACGTAATTGCTTGTATGTGTGCTCCCGGCGACGCCGAATCTCATACAAAATAAGGTTGACAGCCATTCTATTATGTATTATAGTATTTTATCTTTAAAACAAACATGTGTAACTAAAAAGCTCCTCCCTATACTTATTTAATTTTATTTAAAAAAGCCTAAATCAAGAAATCATCAAATGGTGTTCATTACTAGGACATACTCTAGCGGCATTGGCTTGTGACTTCTCCAGAGCTTATTCCATATTTATAAATGTGTATAGTAAAAGTAATACCTAAGTACTAACGTACTAGTATGTGTATTCTTGTCGTGATGTCAACAAATGTCTGGTGCCGATAAAAACTATGTCTGGTGCCGATAAAAACTATTTCACTTTTCTTATTTTAAGAAGCACTATCAGTCTTAATATCCGCTTGATTAAAAACAGAACAAGAGTACAGCGAGAATACAACTGGAAAAGAAAGGCGAATGTTTCAGAATCGGCAAAGGCGTACGACAAGGATATCCTCTGTCACCAAAATTATTCTCGGCGGTGCTATAGTCAATATTCAGAGGTCTTCATTGGGAAAATCTCGGTATCAACGTAGATGGTCGTTTACTAACTCATTTGAGATTCGCGGATGACATTGTGCTATTTGAAAAAACTCCCGAAGATTTAACAAAAATGATATACGATTTAGCAATGGAGAGTAAGAAGGTGGGTTTACAACTGAACCCAGAAAAAACTAGGGTTCTGACCAACGGAGAGAGAACAGCTATAAACTTAGGGAGTAATCAAATCGAGTATACGGAAGAATATGTTTATCTGGGACAACTAATAACGAATGATAACCCCATGCGCAAAGAAGATGAAAGAAGAATAACCAACGCCTGGAAAAGGTACTGGGCTATAAAAGAGATTATGAAGGATAAAAATCTGCATATTAATATAAAAAACAAACTTTTTAACAACTGCATACCGCCAGTTCTCATGTACGGCAGTCAAACATGGACCTTGTCACAAAACCTGACTAACAAACTTGCAACATGCCGGCACGCAATAGAAATAAGCATGATGAATGTGAAAAAATCGGACCGATTGAGAAACTGTGTAATAAGAAGCAAAACAAAGGTTACAGACATGACGTACAAAATTAGAAGACTGAAGTGGCGATGGGCGGGGCACATGATAAGAGGAAGAGATAAATGGAGCAAAAATGTGACGCAATGGTAGATTAAGGATAACAGTAGTATTAAGCTTTGCATGTATTTCTCTTTTTATGTAATTTTTGATTTGAATAAAAAGGATATATACAGACTATAATATGTATATTTTAAGTTTTAATATAAATCGCTTTTAATGTTTTGTACGCTTTTTAAGATTTTTTGTCGGAGAATCTAAATTTTGTCTTGGATAGCAATAGTCAAAACAAAACGTTATTCACATTGTATTCATTGTTATTCAAATTAGGAATCGCTCTTTTTTATGGTAAGTAGATGCCACGGCTCATAGACATCTACATCTATCCTCAATTAAGATTCTAAATACAGATGCGTTGTCACCCTTGAAGGCTAAAATGAAACGCCTCGTTAAAAAATAATATCCGTTTCTATACTCATACCATAATAAACAAATTTAACTGCTATTTTACGCTGGTATTCTATGAGAGCATGAGCTTTCCCAACCCGAGCCGACCTATTCGTGCTTTAGAATATAGCTGTAACATGGCTCTACCACGTACGAAGACAGCCATTAATTCACATCATTAATCTTTCCAGTTCTGTATCGGGAGGACGTTTGCAAATCCGAAATAATTATTTGTAACCAAAACAAATATCTGTTCTTCGCTGAAATCTAACCCGTAGCCTTAGCTTCAAAGGGCGCTGCAACCAAGCGCTTAACCACTGCGCTACTTAGACATCATTAGGGTCACTTTATGTAACGGATGGCATGATAATTTACCATTAAAATTATTTCACGTATACTATTTAATCTGTCGAGAAAATATAAGTGGATATAGTAAGTCGTGTGTACGTCTATAATCCATTTCGTAGCTCGTTCCAACCTAATACAGACATGAAGATTCGAACGAACACAAATTGGATTTACCAGCAAATGCGTAAGTAGTTCATCGAAAATACCGTAGTTTATCTATAATAGGCTCTCCGAATATTTCTTTATGTTAACTTATTTAAATTAATATGTAATTTAAATGTATGTCTGTATAGATATTTATCTTTAAAAAGTCGTAACTTTTATTATAATATCATTCTACTACTACTCACTCTTGGGCTGTGCCCTCCCCTCATCACTGAAATGGTTTTGGGGCAAGAAAGTGTCCACCGCGCCGATCTAATGTGTGGTGACGGACTTCATATCTCTTCAAATATTTTTATTTGCTCATGCAGCACTTGATTACCACATGATTTTTTCTTTCATCGAGCTCGTGGTCCTGATCACCTAAAAATAAAATTGCTGATTACAATTTCAAATGGAATCCGCATTTAAAATTGCGAGCGCTCAGTCCCTTAGCAACCATGGCTTATCATATTTATTATTACGATGCTATCAATCCGGTACAAAACTTGCTGCAGCCATATATAGCTGCAGCGAGGCTCCATAATGCTTAATTTTATTGTACAAGAATATACACAATATATTTTACTAACTTCCAGAGCACATGATATTTTAGCATCAGCATTTTTCTCGTTCTCAGTATCAGATTTTATATTAAAAAAGAAACTGGACAACATAGATATAGATAATAGTTTTACTCAGAATTTGCCCCTGCCTTTTAAATTGAATTAAGAGAATATAGTAAGTCAGCTTAAATTCTAATTTCGTCCCCACTTGCCCGCGCGTCGTATGCTATGTACCGACATGTTTGTAATCACTAATACTGTAAGTAGAACGTTCGTTAGACACTCATTTCATTAGGTTTATCATATTTATGCCTGTTTCTTAACGCCAAGCCAGTCGCTTCTTATTTTTATTACGGTTATTTCCCATTTTAATTTTACGTCGTCCTGTTGCGTAATGTACATTCTGATCATAAGCGACACAAGCTCTCCCTTCAAAGGCCGAAGCGAAGTGACCGGGCGGCAGGAATCACGCATCAAGAGGCCGATAGTTTAGGTAATTTCTTTTTTACAGTAAAAATAATAGTATTTAAAAAAAAGTAAATAACATAAGCACTGCTTTATAGTTAGTTCATTCTCATCTTATTTAAAGTATTTTATGAATAACAGCGGTTTATTTTTTATTTTGGAGGTAACTTTGGATTTTTTTCTATCGAGAAAATTTTACGAAATCATGTTTTCGTCTAACATAATCCTTAACATTAATCCTCAACTTTACCATATATTTATTTCAAAATTAATGCTGCAATATTTTCGGCATAACGAAGGATCTTGCTAAGCCATTTGGGATTATATTTCCCCTTAAATATTAAGATCCAGCTTCCTGAATGGTTATGCCTTCGACAGTTATATAAAAGGAAGTATATAAAAGGAACAAAAGATTTAATAGTATAGTGTAAAATGAATTGGAAGATTTTTGTTCCCCTCAAGTTAAGGCTTGTTACAATAATTCGGATAGAAAATAATATTATATGAAAATATATATTTTACTAAACTCATTATTAACTTAATATTATTAAACGCAAATATAAATATATACAATAATAAATACCTTTTCAAAGGAATAAGGGTGGCAATCACCAGTTTACCTGATGGTAAGTGAATGAGGCGGCCCATGCTACGCATAAACTACTGTTATTTAATTTATGTTAATTTATTATCTTGAAATTAAATTAAATTTTAAAAGATATTTCAACCATGTAGTGGTGCTGTAAAAATATGCACTAGTCCATATCATCCCGTAGGTGTTGTGACCGGCGACAGAGGGAAACAGGAACAGGAGATGGGCAGCAGCATCTTCCAGATAACAACTTAAAGTAAAAAATACTGCAGCTACCAACCAGTCTGCCAAGCGTGGCAACTATGGCAAAATGAGAGGTTGCTCCTATGATTGGCCCTATGAGACAATCTATAGGGGAGGCTGTAAAGGGTGGATAGATGAATATTTAAATTAACTTCAGAGACAAAGTTACGTGATAATAAAAAAAATGTTGCTTTGAAAAAAAATAACAATAACTAAATGTTGTGCTTCGTATGATGAATGCAGAGAACTGAAGACCTTTTACATGAAACTAGGCATTCCATTTTTTGCTCACGGGTGACACAACGCATTGTGTTTTGATTCTTAATCGTGGATAGGTTTTTCTATAAAAAATAGCCAAAGCATCCACTTACCATCATCATTATTATATAAAAAAGGACCGACAACAGAAGGGAAAGGAACATTCACGAGTGGCAGGCCCATACCATTAAATAAAGCTCCTCACCAAATGGAGTGGTGACCTGATAAGGGATGCCGGAAGTACATATATGGATGCAAGTGGCTGAGTTCAGCAGTAGAAATGTGATAGAATTTAGTGATTTTTGTTAAATATATATGCGTATTATCTTCTATTAATTCAGTAGGACCATAATCAGCACAATCAGGTGTTAATATGCGACTATTCGTTATCTAAAAATGAATTAGTCAAGTTTTAAAAATACGATCTTTGCTAGTTAGTTTTGTTAGATTTAAAATTAATAATATTGTTACGAGCTTAGGGTTATTGGTAACTCAATCGGCAATTTTTATTGCCGATTGAGTTACCAAAATTAACTTGATTTGATTGAATTAAAACTTAAAATAGAATAATAATTAACACTTTAGTTCACTTAACACTTTAGTTCACTTTATTTCACTCTGAAGTCTTCGCTTGATTTGCCAATTCAATACAGCTGCGGGTTGCGGTCAATATAGGCGGTCTTATATAGGACCTTTTCTACTGAAAACATCTAGAATGTTCGAGTAGATGTTTTTATACGTGGTAGAGCCACACTACAGCTATATTATAGTTGTAGCACGAATGGCTCGGCTCGACCGGGGAAGGACCACACTCTCACAGAATACAAGCGTAAAATAGCAGCGTAACGCGGCTGTCTTTCAAATTATGAGGGTAAAGATCCGGTGATCCTTTTTTACTGGAAACGAGGCATTCCATCTTAGTCTTCAGAGATGACAAAGCATCCGAATTTTGATTCTTAATCAAGGATAAATGTAGATGTCTATGAGCCACAGCATCCACTTACTATCAGAGAGACTGTGTGCTCGTTTGTCACCCTTATTCTATAAAAAAAGTAGAATGACGAAAGTTCTAGCAAGGAATTTTCTAGGAAGCTCTCCTAGTTCTGCCACTCAATACTAGAAGGTGCTAGTGGAAAAGTTCTAGCGTGGAATTTTCTAGAAAGTTATCCTAATTCTGCTACTCGATACTAGATGGCGCTAGTAGCATTAGTTTTGACGCGCAACAATATTCACAATATTAACTTACGTTCAAAAACCAAAGAATTAATAACCCAATATAGCAGCTACATAATCAGTAAGATAAATCTAGGGAATCGTAGAGCAACTGATAAAAATGGACAAGAAAGATTGAAAATGAATAAAAATCTTTTACGTATCAAGATTTCACTTTACGAAAGGGGACATCATTGATCCGAACGAACAGTATTAGATTGAAACCTCGTCTCTCAAAGTCACGTATCTTATAAGAAGGTTATCTTGTATCCCCCCTGCTTCTTCTCGTTACTTCATGAAATTTAATAAAGATAAAAAAATCTTGTACTTAAATTCTTTCTTGGACTTTAAATAATTTGGAAGGAATGACATGATAAAGGACAAGAGAATGAAGGAATTATGCTTCCGTATACTTTATGTGCGCATATTATGCCGTTTTGTAACGGATTAAGAGCAGGGATAAAAATCCATTCTTAATTTCATTACACTTCTTAATTTAGATTCTAAAATGGTTCCTCTTTTCTGTAAGGTACGTTCCAATATACCTCAATTTTTCAGTATCCCAGTGGAAGGGCGAAACTTCATACCGTTGACTTCTATCTTATTTTTATATTACCTTGATCGTTTTTTTTATATAGAATAAGGGTGACTAACGAGTACACAGTTCACCTGATGGTAAGTGGGTGCTGTGGCCCATAGACATCTACATTTATTCTCAATTAATAATCAAAATGCAGATGCGTTGTCACACGTGAGGACTAAGATGGAATGCCTCGTTTCCTCGTCTCCGGTAATCTACCTATCCTACTTGGTCACCAAACAGCAAAGCTATAGTATAACTATAGGATATAAGATTCAGCCGTTGGTCCTGCGCCTGATCTCTCTCCGGTTGTGTCGGTTTACCAACCCATCGGTGTATGATAGAGAGAGCACCTATGCTTTCGCATACACTTTGACACTACGACAATCCTGTCCTACGCCGATGGCTAGTCTCCGTCGAGACTGGCTGCCGTGACCGAAATTCGGCCTGGAGGACTTATTATTACTTCGTAAGATGAAAGCGGAGAACTGAAAACCTTTTTGTAAGGATGAATTCTAACTTAGTCCTCAGGGTTGACAACGCATCTGCATTTTAATTCTTAATTGATGACAGATGTTTATGGACAACAGTGCCCAACTTTATTTTGGGGTAAACTGTGTGCTCGTTTATGTCACGTACTTCCGTGCCTCACTTCATAAAAAAGCAACTTAAGTAGGAACAGGAAGACAAATAAAAAGGTGTAATGTTATAAAAGTCTCAATAAAAGAGACGTGTTACTTGTTCTAGATCTTTAACTATACAGCACTTATTAATTACAGTTGACATTAATATTACAAAAGTCGAAATAGGTTTATTCTATGAGTAGGTCATCAGATCCCCCTTTCGGATCCCCCTGCCCCATAGTAATTTAAAGGTCACAATAGAGTTGGTATTAAGTATATTTCATTTTAGGATATATAGAACAAAGAAGATAATGTATTGCATTGTAATCTTGATTCTTAACATAACAATAGAAAGTCAAAATACAATTTGCTATCCCAGCTGCGTAAACGATTTGTGACACTTTTGTTTTAAATTCGAAAGGACTATTGCGTGAATAAGTCAACGTCATACACTAGCGCCATCTAGTGTCAGGAACGAGAGCGAGGGGAGCTTTGCAGAAAATG